TGTGTGGTCTCTGCTGAGCTTCCACCTCCTGTGCTGGACTTCTCCCTGTTCCGTGTGCTCTAGGCCGGTCTTGGGATGGAGCCGGGTGGCGGCGGCAAAGCCTACCTGCTGCTGAATCATGCAGCGGTGGCCCCCCCACAGGGTGTGTGGACTCTATGGAGCTTGTATCTCCCTTGCTGGACGTCTCCGTGCTCCGTACGCATTGGGCCGGGCTGCTGGATTGCGCGGCAGCAGTGTGGTCCCCGTGGAGTTCCTGCCTCCCCTGCCAGATGTCTCCCTGCTTCGAGGGCACTAGGCCAGGCTGGGAATGGAGCCGGGTGCCTGCGGTGAAGCCTACCTGCTGGATCACGCAGTGGTGGCCCCACGGGGTGTGTGGTTTCTTTTTTTTTTTTCTTATAGATGACCTGTAAGGGGATCTTAACCCTTGACTTGGTGTTGTCAGCACCACGCTCAGCCAGTGAGCAAACCAGCCATCCCTATATGGTATCCGAACCTGGGGCCTTGGTGTTATCAGCACCACACTCCCCCAAGTGAGCCATGGGCCGGCCCAGGGTGTGTGGTTTCTGCGGAGCCTCCGCCTCCCTTGCCAGATGTCTCCCCACTCTGTGCGAATGGAGCCGGGTGGCGGCGGTGAGGCCTATCTGCCGGATTGTGTGACGGCGGCCCCGCAGGGCATGTGGTCTCTGTGGAGCTTCTGCCTCCTCCACTGGACGTCTCCCTGTTCCATATGCACTTGATGTTATGTTTTTATAGTTTAAATCGTTTGATTTGTGGGAGAGAGTGACGCTAGGGACCATCTATTCCGCCATCTTGACTGGAAGCCCCTGCATTGAATCTCTATTTTTATTTTTTTAGGCTGGCTGGTATAGGGATCAATCCCTGAAGGTTGGTGTTATCAGCAGCACCATACTCTAACCATCTGAGCTAACTGGCCACCCCCCTGAACTGAATCTTTTTAAGATGAGTAGGAGGTTTTGGTGAAGTTCTATTCCTTACACTGTGGGTTGGGTACCTCAGTGCTTTTATTATTTACGACATACGTATACATTAAACGTAGTCTTTTTTTTTTTTTTTTTTGGTGGCTGACAGGTACTGGGATCTGAACCCTTGACCTTTGTGTCACTAACTGTATTCTTATATGTGTAAAATATCTCACAATTAAAAGGTAAATAAATATAAGATCTAGTCAAAGATTTTTGGAGGACTGGCCTAGATATTTGAGGTGTCCTAAATTTTAACTCTTAAGAAATGCTGACAATAAAATTGGAATCATAGTCTTTTTTACAAGAAAAACGACTAAAAATTACAAGAAGTTGCATAAAATCACAAGAATAAAATGGAATTATAGAAGAATCTGTGGGTCACTGGTGGATACAGAAAAAATGATCAACACAGATTAAAGGAAACAAAAAACAAAATGGTATCTGAACCAATTTAAACAATTAGTGGTCAATTCAAGTTTCAGACTCATGCAAATGTTAAAAAATGTTATCATCAGAGAAACGAATTTCAAAGACTTTAATCTGGAAATGGAAAACAATTTATAATCCTGTTTCTGGTCAATGTAAAAATTACAACGTTAGGTTTAGGTTTAAGACTTTTTAGTGCTGGGTTGCATCTATAATTTGAGTTTTTAAATGTCAGCTGGCAGAAGAAGCTCGCCCCAGGGACTCAGGGACCTCTTGTGGATAACCTACAATTTATCTGTTCTAATTTGAACTGTCAAAGGGCTTGGTAAATTGTTTTAATAAAAAATCCATAAACTATTAAATTAAGCCAAAATGAAAAGAAGTCTGAGCTATGCCAGAGTGCTAAGGAAAGGAAGGAGGGGCGTGGCCTTTTCTGGGTAGAGGAGGGGTCGTTCTAAGCAGAAGAGAATGAAGAAAGCCTGAATATGCTAAGCATATTCCAGGAGCAGCAGGTAAGTGGGTGTGACTGGAGGGAAATGGAACCTCAGGTGATCCGACCGAGGGAGTCACTGCTCGAGCGTCCAGACCCCAGAAGTCTCCACCTTTCCCTTTTTTCCCCCCTCCCTTCTCAGTTGCCCTTTCCCGCTTTCTGCTGACTCCGCCCCACCGGCAGCCTCCTGGCCCCGCCTCCAGAGAGGCTGGAGGCGGAGCCTCGTGTGGTCATCTCTCTGCTCCTTCCGAAGGTGCGCGGAGCTGATGGCGCTGTTTAATTGACGTCACGGTCATTGACAGCGTGAGGCAGCGGCGGCTGCTGCCATGGTGGCTGGCGTCCGGGTGGGGGTCTGAGTGGATCTTCTGCTAGGCCAGAACGCCTTTAGGGGGCGTGACGGAAGGCGAGAGTTTGCAGCCAGGGCGGCAGGTTTGTCGTCTGGAGAGTCGTGAGGCTGAGGAGGGGGTTGAAGACCTAGAAGCCGGACTCCGTGACCTAGATCAGGGGGTGTGTTGGAGGGGAGGCTACGTCAAAGCTGGGTGAGGAACGGGGTAGTCAGGCCCAGGAGGCAGGCGGAAGCCTTAGGGTCCGGATTGGGGTGAGGGAGCTCAGGATCTGGGCAAAGAGCTATCTCCCGGTGTCAATCTAGTCTTGGGGTGGGTGGACCAGGCTCACGAACCTCTCTTCCCCTCCCCACGCCCGCCTGCTCCCGGTGGTTTATGCGGGCTGCAGGTGCAGCATGTCTAGATTGGGGGCCCTGGGCGGCGCCCGCGCCAAGCTGGGACTGTTGCTGGGCACTGCTGCCGGCCTTGGATTCCTGTGCGTCCTCTACAGCCAGCGGTGGAAACGGTCCCAGCGCCATGGCCGGAGCCAGAGCCTGCCCAACGCCTTGGAATACACGCAGACTTCAGAGCCCAGACGCCAGGGTAGGAGTCCATCCCAGAGACCGCGGTCAATGACTGATGAGCCTGGGGTCCAAGCTGCCTTTGGCAAAGCCTGTGAGACAGGGCAACGGCGGGGGTACCTGAGGGTTTCACTTTTTGGGGGAAAGCTTATTGAAAAGGAAAGCACTCTTCGTCTTGTGTATTCTGTCCGCTGTAATCCCAGGAAAATATGTTGCAAAGAGACTGTTTAGCTTTCACTTTTAGTTCTGGCCACTGCAGTGCTATGTGTATATCAGAGACACTTGCTTAGTGTTGGGTGAGGCGTGTAGAGGAAAGTCGAGGAAAAGTCCAAAAGCAGACAAAAGGAATAACTAATCTTGTACGGATTACAAGTCTTGAGGTTTAGTATTAAATTACGTATTAGAATTTGAAGGGAACTCGGAGACTATTTAAAACCCAAGTTTTTAATCCTTATGAGGAAATATAGATTCAACAAGATTGTGTAAGTTTCCCTGGGTTGTCACAGAGTAAGTGGCAAGATTGGGCCTGGTCACCTGGTCCAGTGGACTTTCCACAGCATGGGCTGGGAGCACACTTCATGCAATTGAAGCTGAATGTGGCTGGAAGCCAGCCACAGCTGAAATGGGTAGTGCTTTCAGTTTTGTGAAACTTTCATGTTAACTCGTTTGAGCAAAGTATCTAGGGCTGGTTCAAACCACTTTCTTCATCTTTGTGTAATAGAGGAGTGTTTAGTTCATCTCACCCCATGTCAGTTGGAAATGAGTGTTTTCTTTGGTTACCAATGTCAGATGGCTTCAAAAGTAAGTTTCGGGAGAGTCTTCAAAGAGTTATCACCTAAGACTGCAACTCATTGTCAACATTTTTATAACCTGGCGATAACCTAGTATTGCAAGTGTGCTTGTCTTTCCTTCCCTTCTTTGTGTTTTGTTCGTTTGTTTGTAATTTCTTAGTAGTCTTTCCTCTACTGAGGTTGAGAGAAAGTGGCCACATTCCCAGGGATCTTTCTTGCTCTACATTCTTGAACATTGTTGGGTATGTATTGTAGTCTGATCTAGATTGTTACTAAATTTCCTTTAACAAGTCATTTGTGCTTGCCTTGTCTTGCCTTCCTGGTTTCTTTCCTGTTTTTACATTTTCCAGTCTAGGTGCCAGAAGTGGCTATAGTTAGCATTGCACTGTTGGAATTTACCTACAGCTCAATTCAGGGTTGGGTCAGTGGGGCTTGGTAATGGTGTTTTTCTGATGGGTTATTTATTTTTAAAAATCTTTATTGAATCAAAATTGATTATACATATTTTTGGGGTTAAACACTGAGATATGTTGATTACTAGCATATATATTGTTACAAATCGTAATTATTCTTTATGCCCCTTGTCCAATCTCCCCAATCTCATCCTTCTCTCCTTCCCCCCTCCCACCTCTAATTACCCTAGATTTCTTCTCTCCTTCTGAAAGAATAATGGTTACTCTGTTGATTTGTTGCCTAAATGATCTGTCCAATGCTGAGAGGTGTAATCAGGTCCCCCAATATTATCATAGAGCAGATGCTTCTTCTGTCACTCTGAAATGAGCTTTGTGGAGAGAGACATCCTCTTTTCTTTATCTCTGCTGGTGACTCTCCTTGTGTCAATGCACACCAGTGGCTGGCAGATCATCTGTGTGGTGGTTATGGTGTCTACCCATTTTTGCAGCAGCCATGGTTATTGTCGTGACTGTGGTGGGCCACTGACATGGAGGTGATGTTTTTGGCATGCTTCTTGGTGCTGGCGGTGTGCCTGGTTGTGGGGAGTGTCTGGTCAATGGATCCATACCCCGGGCGGGCCCCACGGCACTGGCAGTGTTAGGGGTTGTGGGTGGGGATCTTGTCTCTGGCTCCAAGCTTCATGTCTCCTGGCGGGCTTCAAGGCACTGGTGGTGTGCCTGGGCTGGAACTAATTTTTGTCCTTTGCTTACTTCTAACATGGGGGAACTTCCTGTGGGAACCAGTACTTGAGCTGTGTTGTTGAGCTAAATTGCTGCTTTGCTGCTGTTTTCCTAGGGAAGGCTTTTTGTACAGCTCGGGGTTTAATGGTTGACCTTATAGGTACTTCCGGCTCTCCAGATACTCGGTGCACCTGGGTTGTGTAGAAACTCTGATCTGGGCCTGAGTTTTTTCATCAAACTGCACCCCATGCAATTCTGCGTTCTTGACCAGTCTCCTCTGAGTGGTCTTGCACTGATTGGGGGATGAGCCAGTTGTCCTTGCTGTGTTCCAGTGTTCTCCCAGTGGGCCTGTCTCCCTCACCGCCCATGCTCTAAACACTTCCCATGGAACAGGCCATGTGCGGGTCCCTTGTGTTGACTCATAGGCCTCTGAATGGCTCCCCTTTTTCAGCTGTTCTGGCTCCTCGCTCCTTGTGGGTCCACAGGAACCCTATTAGTGGTCTTGCTCTCCTGGGGGCCACCAAGGTCCTCTTCTCCCCTGCCGCCTCCAAGCAACTCCATCTGAAGGCCACAGCTGCGGCTTCTGCTGGCTCCTGCTCCTTGCGCTCAGTAGTTTCAGCCTTAAAGCAGCCACGGCCTGAAACACTCAGAGCAGTTTTTTTCTTTCTCTCATTGTGGTTTCTCCTGCCTTCACGAACTCTGTAGGTCTCTCCTCCTCTTCCCCTGAGCTCTAGCGGCCCCAGCTTGGCTGATGTTACATTTTTATAGTTGTAAATTGGTTGATCTGTGGGAGAGAGTGATGCCGCGGCCCATCTATTCTGCCATCTTGACCGGAACTCCTCCTAATGGGGTTTTGATGCACTTTTTCATGTACCTTTTTTCTTAGTAGTTAACTTCCCCTTTTCTCCTTGCCCCTCTCTAATACTAAATGAACCTCTTGAGAGAAGCTCAGAGTTTTATTTACTATTCTTTGTGAAGTGACAGATAGAATTTGAGTGAGCTCAATTTTAGTTCTGCTGTGTGGTTGGTATTGACTGCTTGGTACTTGGTCCTAAATGGTCAGGTAAAGGTTTTTCTTTTGCATTAGTAGGGCATTGTCCTGCCTCCTAGGTACCACACTCTTTCAGGCATTTTATGTTATCTGCCATGGTGTGCAGCATTGCTGACAGGCCCTGGTGTGGAAGGTTCTTGGAGCAGAGGGCTGTTTTTAGAGATTGGGACCGTAATTTTTTTCTGGGTAGTTACTTGGGACTTGTGACCATAACTTAGCTGGGAATGTATGCTGTCTGAGCCTCAAGGCTCAAGGGTCTTCTCTGTAAATTGAACTTCAATGAGAAGCAAGTGTTCTTGAATTTTAGGTACAAGATCTTTTCCTTACTGTATCCCATGGTGTCACTGTCTCCTGTTCCCTTTCCTACAGTGATGCAGTTGCGGTCCATCCCAGGTGAGGCTGGAGATGCTGCAGTACTGCCCAGCCTTCCACAGGAAGGGCAGGAGAAGGTGCTGGACCGTCTGGACTTTGTGCTAACCACTCTTATGGCATTGCGGCGGGAGGTGGAGGAGCTGAGGAGCAGCCTGCAAGGGCTTGCTGGGGAGATTGTTGGGGAGGTCCGGTGAGTAATGCAGCCTTCTCTCCTGCTTTGTCCCCCACCCTTCAACTTTTCCCTGCTTCTACAGCTTTTCAGCTGAAGTATGTTCTCGCCTTTGCTGAAGAAGCCAGTTGTATAGCTTCTGACCTAATTTGAGGGTAATCTGTCCATTTGGTGCCTCGCCTTGCACAAGCTCCTTGCTACTTCTGGACTCTCGTGGTCCGTTGCAGTAACTGAAACTTTGTTCTGTTTAAGCTAGTCTGTCCATGCAGGCTGGGCCCAGGCAGCTGCCCTTCCTTCTTGCTCTCCTGAGGGTAGAGACCCAGGATTTTCTTTGCTCTTGGCCCTTTAATGGGGGGCAGTAGTAAGAGGCTCCCCCATGGTTAGGAGAAAGATAGGCTGGATGGGGTAATGTATCCTCTGGAATGGGGTCTGCTTTCCAGATCCAACATGGAAGAGAACCAGAGAGTGGCTCGGCGGCGAAGGTTCCCATTTCTCCGGGAGAGGAGTGACTCCACTGGCTCCAGCTCTGTCTACTTCACGGCCTCCTCAGGAGCCACGTTCACAGATGCCGAGAGTGAAGGGGGGTGAGTTGTCTCTCCTGGAGGCAGTTATGGCTGCAGCCAGGTTGCATTTTGTAAAAGTATTATCAATGGAAAATTCAAACCAAACTGCTGTAAATAACTTTTGGAACATGGCAAGAGTATAAAAAAATAAAATACAGAGCAGTTGAAACAAAAAACTCCATTCAATTTATGTCATTCAGACATTGCGTGCATCTGTCATTTTCCACTGAGTCGGTTTTTTACATAGTTATTATATATTTTATTAGTTTGGGCATTTTTCTGTGTTATCACTGAGATTTTGTAAGCATGGTTCCATGACTTTGTTCCTTTCCTTGAGTGGCTGAAGCTGGGTATACAGATATCTCTAAGCACAAAGCGTGCTCCCTCTCCCTGGTACACAGCTTTGCCCAAGATCAGGATGTAGAACTCAAGGCTCTTAAAGATAATTTGAAGTTGTACAAACTTCTGGGGTCAGTGAGAGCCAGAGTGGTAAACCCCCAGGCTTGTGGGTGCTTCACTGCTTGGGGTGCTCACTAGGGATCCCAAGGCCACAAGGAGCAGGGCAGGGCTGCCTGCCACTTGTGATGGGGCAAGGGGAAGGGTGGTGTTAATTATAGCTCCAGCAGGCTCAGCCCCATGACAGATCCTGTAGCATGTGAAAGACGGTGGTGGTGCAAGACCCTGGTTTAGCTGGCTGCTATCTGGGGCAGTGGCCATGTGAATAATTCTTTTTCCCATGGCCAGTGCCATATAGGTCAAGGGGGAATTCTAGGAGGAGTTCACAAACTCTGAAATGGTTTTGAACATGTGGGCCTTGGGGAAGGAGAGCTTCTTTGAGGGATGAAGGGATAAGATTTGATAGGCTGCTGTATTCCACTGAAAGCTGTATTCCCTCTTTCTTCCAAATAAAATAACATTGAGCTCCCAGGAGATTGACTGAATATGGCAGAGGCAGAATCATTGTTCAGGTCCGTGATCTCATTCCTTGGGCATTGTACAAACACAGCTGAGTTCTCTCCCTGTCAAAACCCAGCAAGCCTTCCCAGGCATCCCAGCCAAAAGGGATTGCCTGTAACCTCATCTTCATCTTCACTCCTTCTTGGGCATTTGTCATCTCATTTAGGTTGGGTCTTATCTCCCCCACCAGGAGAGACTGTCAGGGTCAGGGCCCATGCCTGGACTTCTTTGAATGCTTCACACTCAGCCCCTCTAATGGGGTTTAGGAAGAGTTGGAAAAAACTTAATTGCCAGAAGGAGGGCGTGTGTGTGTAACTGAGACAAAAGGGCTATCCCTCTCTCTGGTGGATTTCTTCAAGGGCTGGGTTGGTAATCTGGGAAGTAGAAGGTGTGAGACAATGGTATAAATGTAGTAGCTCTGGCACGTGATATATCTCTTCTCAGGCCCCAGAAGCCTATGGGGCTGATGCCAGGCAGTGGGTGAGGCAGAGCTCCTTGCAGTGGGGCTGACTTGTAACTGAAGTCCTCATCATGCCAGCCTTGCAGGAGCCTCTCTGCCTCACAGGGCCCTAGTTCTCACTCTGTGGGTGGAAGCAAGGCCCTTCCTGATCTCTGCTTCTCCCTGGCTATGTGAACTCTTGCCTCTAGGACCCAGAGGGATGGCAGCATTGCAGGACTTTCTTCTGGCTTAGGTCCCAGGGGAGACTGTGCTGATGCTTGTGCTCTAGCAGGTATAACAGCAGTAGTTCCTCCCTGAGAGTACTGGGCAGCTGACCGGTATGGGGATCTGAACCCGTGACTTTGTTATAAGGCTGTGCTCTAACCAACTGAGCTAACCAGCCAGGCTGAGACTCTTGTTTTCGCCCTCGATTGGCCGAGGTAGCCCTTGACTCAGCAGGGAACAGGGTCTCCCTCTCTTTCTAACAAAGGGAGATGATGAGACTTAAGCTCTTCACTCCAGATAAATCATTTCCCCATTTTGCCTTTGGGCTGGCTGGGCAGAGTAGATGCTGGTTTGATTTTCTCATTTGGGGCAGGTTATTGTCTAAGCCTTAGAGTTAGGTTGGGAGTTTCTCTAGGTTGCCCATGTGGTCTTGCTCATTACTACCCAGGTCAGTTGTGAATTCTGATGCCATGTTTCTTTGTCCCTTTGTTTTTTCTACTTTTTATTTTTTGGCAGCTGGCCTGTAGGGGGATCTGCACCTGTGATCTTGGTGTTATAAGGCTGTGTTTTAACCAACTGAGCTAACCGGCCAGTCCCCTTCTCCCTTTAATTTCTAAAGTTTTTACTGTAAGGGCCGGCCCATGGCTCACTTGGGAGAGTGCGGTGCTGATAACACCAAGGCCACGGGTTCGGATCCCTATATAGGAATGGCCGGTTAGCTCACTTGGGAGAGCGTGGTACTGACAACACCAAGCCAAGGGTTAAGATCCCCTTACTGGCCATCTTTAAAAAAGAAAAAAAAAAAGTTTTTACTGTAAATTCCTAGAGGGGAAAGATACTTGGATAACCTCTTAAAAAGCAATGTGAGGTTAGGAAGATTTTACATATATTAAAAGTTCTTGTAGTAGATGTTCCTGGGGCTCCTTTTTAAGATGAGACCAGAAGCTCCTCTCTAAAGAAGCAATCAGCATGCACTGGGCACCAGATCTTGTATGTACTCAGCAGTGGGACTGCTGGATCGTATGGCAGTTCTGTAGTTGTTTGAGGAAACTGTACCATTTTCCATAATGGCTGCACTAATTTAAGTCCTACCAGCAGCATAGGAGGGTTCCCTTCTCCTCATCCTTGCCACCATTTGTTATTGTCTTTTTTATAATAGCCATTCTAACTGGGGTAAGATGATATCTCAGTGTAGTTTTGATTTGCATTTCCCTGATGCTGAGTAATGTTGAGCATTTCTTCATGTGTCTGTTGGCCATTTATATATCTTCCTTTGAGAAATGCCTTTTGGGTACCAGGTCTTGTTGCTTACTTGGTACTTTCCAGTGCTTGCCCCCTTGTTGTCTCTGGTTTTCTGAATGAGAAAGACAGCACTTCTGCCTACCACATTCAGTGCCTGACTTCAGGCTGTCATATATTGACTTTATTTGTGTCTCCTTCATTTCTCCTTTAGTTGTTTTGCTCCAGCCATAGGAGCCTACCTTATCTTTCATTCCAGATGGAGGAAAGTTTATCCCTGAATGACCCTAAGACCTCCCTTGTGCTTCAGGACTTTCTGGCTCTGACACACTCTGCATTTTCTTCACTCAGTCTGGAGAGCTCTCTGGTGTCTGCTTCTGGCCCCTGGAAATCCTATCTTTTCCCCTGCTCAGTGTTTGTCTGATTTAGTTGGCAGTTAGAGAAAAACACCCTAATCTGCTGCTGGTGGAGGTCAAAATCCAAGAGAAACTTGGCTCCCTCTTTAGAGAGTGCATCAGGGTTTGGACTCCCTAGGAACTACCTGGCCATGGTAGCTCAAGAGACACCTTCCCAGGGGGTTGTTTGCATGTTCTTCCTCTCCTGCTTCTAGCCACAAAGCTGCTCCTACCCCACCCCCGTCCTTTCAAGGTTCCCAAGGGATACTCCTGTTGTAATTTAGGTTTGGTTGTTGCCTTGGGTCAGACGTACAAGTTTGAGAGAGAAAATATGGATATGTGTGGCTGCCCATGGCCTCCAAGGCTCTGGTACCCACCCATGTTGGTTCTGGCAGGTGCCTTTGGCTGATAAAGTGAAAACAATTGACAAATCCTTAGCGTGGTAATCATTCTACTTCAGGAGATCAGCTCCACCTATATCTTAAGGTTTTTTTTTTTTTTTTTTTTTTTTTTTTTTTTTTTTTGGTCCCGCAAAGGGACC